GTCAGGAGGAGTTCGGTAAGCATCAGTGTGCATGGAAAATGTGCAAAACCCATTTTAGGGTCAAACTTTATAGAGGTGTTTTGAGAAGTGTGGACAAGACATTTTATGCCACACAATCCCTTTTAGCTCGGTTTGATATGTACATTTTAATTACCTGTAGTTTTAAAAACCCTGATGTGTAAAAATGTCAAATTTGTGGACCATTGTGCAGTGGAAAGATGTAACTCTTTTGTCTTCTTTGTTCCATCCAGAGAGAATCCACCAGGCTCAAGCTGCAGCTGCAAAAGCAAGAAAAGCTTTACAGCAAAAACCTAAACCAGCGTCTAAGCCTGTGAGTTTAACACCTTCATTTTACTTACTACTAGAAAAAAAACACTGAGCTGCATCTGCTGTTTTACTGCTACTGTAGCGAAAATAGTCATTTACCTTTTTGGAACTTGAAGTAGCTTTCACACTGTATTGTGTCTAAAATCAAAATTAGTTTTTTATGAATCTTGATCCACATCTATGTTTTAGAAGTCTGGAAGTAAAGACGGAGGCAGCAAAACCCCCGGATGTCTGGAGACAGGACAGGATATCGGCTCTAATCCTATGTCCCCTATTCCTACAACACCAACCTCAAACACACCTGGAACCCCCAAGTCACCCCTGCCCTGCACAGCCACCACACCAACAAAGACTGGAGTCCCAGATGCAATCAAAACCAGCCCTGGGTCAGTGACACATGCGTTTTTTTTTTTCTTTTCACTTATATTGGAACAATGCATACACCTATGCTTCATGTGTGCAATTTGAAGCTGACTCTTCTCCTGCCCCTCTTGCTTCCCCAGTGTTCTTCTTGTGTCGCCTCCATCGTTGCCTCAGCTGGGAACCATCTTACCCACCAGTCAGGCTTGTCCGCCAGCTTCACAACCAGTGACATCCCAACACGCTGCTCGGATAGTGAGTCACCTAGCAACAGGTTCCCTCCCTCAGGTACGGGTGGTTTCTGCTCAGCCTGGTCTCGGCTCTTCAGCAGGAAGTCAGCAAGCGACGCTGGTACATCAGACCCCTCACCAGATCAGGATGCCAGTGTCAGTGGCAGCCAAGGGCATTTCACAGGTAAACAGAACAACTAATAAGTAAACACAACACAGGCGACCCTGTTTGTTTTGCGTGTTGCACATTTGTAATTAATTATCTCTGCGTTTCTTTTGTGTATCATTAGGCGGTAGTTTCTGTGCCTCTGAGGAGTCAGTCTGCTAGTAGCCCAGTTCAGGTTCCAACCACCCTGTCTGTGTCAACTGTAACTGTGGCCAAACCTCCAACTGGATCACCCGGTAGTCCAGCTACCAATCCTACTTCTCCAGCTGTACTGCAAGGAGTCGCCAGTCCGAACATTAAACAGGTGAAGCATTTAGTTTTAACTGTAATAAGGGAAAGAAAGTAGGGTTTGTGTTCAGTTTAATTTATTTCAGATTATTTCCGTCTTTGTCTAACAAGTCTACAGGTAATGAAGATGATTATTAGAGAAAAAAATCTATATCCTTAAATAAGTAACTAAGGTAACTTGCCTTGTTAATGATCACGAGATTAATCAGTCGGTGGGTTACGTATGTTTGCTTTACAGGTGTCCATCACAGGACAACTGGGAATGAAGACCTCAGGAGGAGCAGGAATTCCAATAACAGCTACAAACCTGCGCATCCAGGGCAAAGACGTCTTACGCCTTCCACCATCCTCCATTACCACAGATGCTAAAGGCCAGACGGTGTTGCGGATCACCCCAGACATGATGGCAACTCTTGCCAAATCCCCAGTTGCAACTGTCAAACTCACTTCTGACTTTCTGGGCACTGCTGCCACAGGCAGCAAGAGCATATCAGCCACTCTCCATGTGACACCACCCCACCCTTCACCGTCCTCTGCCTCCAGTGCTGCATCCTGTACAGGTGAAGCACAAACCACTAAAGCAGGCCCTGTCACCTCAACCTTGTTGAAGGCAGCAGGAGACACAGCCATACGTTTGATGCCCACGTTGGCTGTCAGTGTGGCTGATCAAAAATCCAGGACCTTCTCCACCGTGACCTCCCCTGACAAGAGTGGCGCCACCATTCGGATAATGCCAGGCCTCGGTGTTATCCCACAGAAACAGGGTCAGACCATCACAATGACAACCACCACTGGCAGCAAACCACTCACAGCATCGACATGTGCTAATGTAGTGACCATGGCTGCCAGTGTTGTGGCTGGAGCGAAGGGCATCACAGTGGCTCCTGGAGCCTCGGGCTCTCCTCTGACGCTGGGAACAGCTACAGCTACTGTGCGGCAGGTCCCTGCTACAGTTGTTACTACACAAACAGTAAGACAATTATTCACTTTACATCTTTAATGGAAATCGATATAAATGATTCCCATCAGATGAGGGTTATAGTTTATGATGGCTGTAATATACCAGAAATCTACACGAAATATTTTTGACTAAGAATGTCAGTTTTAGTGAACCAGGTTTACCACCTCCTTGATGTACAAGCAAGAAGCAGATTGAGATTTGTACTGATAGATCACTATATCACAGTATAAGTTCCTGTTTTGTATACTTTATATAGTAAAGTTAGTCAAATGTTTGTCTAAGTCACTCATCCAGGTGAAAGGACATCAAATAGTTGAAAGTAAAAAGCAATGGCACCTAATGTAAAGGCATGGCATACCATACACCATCAGCCCTTCATATGTGGCAAGATTAAAGTTTGCCAGCAACTCCTTTTTGCTGTCTTGCCAACAACCCAGATATGTTTGGTTTTTAATGCAACGGCAAAATACAATTTGTTAAGTGGTCATTTTAGTTACAGTTGGAATCTGAATTTAGATATCTCAATGTAACCTATTAGTTTTGATCAGTAACTTACTTCCACTGGCTGGTTCCTACTAAACGCCTCTCTGGACAGTTATTGATTTGCATAGTTTCCTCCAGAGCAACTAGAAGCTCATCAGCAAGGAATGCATCAGTTTGTTCCTCACTTTCTCCAAACACAAACTCTACTTCCACTTATCAAATCAACTGGGCTGTGAATTATTGCATTTTTTTAGTCATGTGCGGTGCTGATTGGTGGATATTAGCACATTATCACTTATGAGAATTTTGACTTTGCTGCAACATTCTGCACAATTTATTTAAGAAAGTCTGCAATCATGTCTCAGTACTTAACCATACTTTCTGAAAGTCACATAACTGAAGAACAATTCTTTTCTTTGACAACTCTGTAGGGGAAGTTACCTGCACGCATCACTGTGCCTCTTTCTGTCCTCAACCAACCACTGAAGAGCAAGAGTGTTGTGACCTCACCTATTGTGAAGGGAAGTCTGAATACAAAGTAAGTCTGCTGTAACATTGAATACACTTCAGCCCTGTGATGGACTGGCAACCTGTCCAGGGTGTCCCCTGCCTTTACCTTATGTCAGCTGGGATATGCTCCAGCTCCCCATCGACCCTACAGAGAATAAAGCGGTGTATAGATAATGGATGGATGGACTTAAATAAAACTCAAAAGTTTAAACTAGTTGCTGTGAAGTTTCGGCTCTCTTGGGCTATCCATGTCAGATGACAGCAGCTATCTTGTAATAATTTCTATTTTGTTATTTAAAGTTTTCTTTACACTGTAGTGGCTAATGTATCCACTTTAAAGCCTCTTGAATAGATGTGGTTATTAATGTATGTTTTTATAGTTGCAAGTTGGGATAGAACGCTGACATTTTTTATCCTTTTGCCTTTTTTTTCTGAGCAGTATCAGCAGCCTCGGCAGGAACATCATCCTGACCACGATGCCTGCTGGCACGAAGCTGATTGCAGGGAACAAACCAGTCAGTTTCGTCACAGCTCAGCAGTTCCAGCAGCTTCAGCAGCAAGGACAGGCCACACAGGTTAGTCACATGGTTTTATTTTGCTATTGAGATTATGTATCATCAACAGTATGGAATAATATGGTTTGTAGCAGCTCCTCAGTAAAAACTATTTTTTATGTGATACATAATTTTGTGACCAATGTTATCATAACTACTAAAAGGATTTTTAGTTTAGTTTTTTGGTTTGCAGTCGTTCTAAAATAACAATCAAAGCCTTAAAAAATCATTCTTGCTGTTTGATACCTTCATTTGAGTTTTAACCTGTGAATGAGCTTTCTCTTGCAGTGTGCTCATGAACAAACATCACCCAAATGCTCATTTTTGTCCCTTTAAAGTAGACATTGAGATTAAACACGTATTTCTGTCATCCCTCAGGTTCGTATCCAGACAGTTCAGGCGCAGCAGCTCCAGCAGCACATGGCAACAGGCTCCCCGAAATCCGTTTCAACAGTCGTAGTCACAACAGCACCTTCACCCAAATGCGCCCCTGATCCTCCACCTGCTCCTCAGCAGTGATGTCGTCTTGTTAGCCAGCAATGAATCGTATGTCCAGCGCACTATATATGTCATGGATTATGTGTGAGTTTTTTTTTTTCTTTATTCTTGGAAGTTGGATAATACCCACCAAGATCAGAAACCTAATTCCGCTCAATCAATGCCTGCGGACTTGTGTTCAGAGTTCTACGTTTTCCAAGTTACCAGCATCGTGTGTCATTGTTGAAAATCGCCATTTCCCCTCAACAATCCCTCCTGAATTTTATTTTCGTCATTGTTATACCCAAATATATATTATAAGAATATTAAGGCAGGTTGCAGTCTTTGCATAGAAATTCTACTGAGGAGAGGTTTATTTTTCCTTCAGTTGTTGGCTAACTTTAAAAGGACTAATTTGTGTTTGTCACATCTTTAAATGTTTCATATGATGCATTGTTAGCACATGTGCAGTGAGTGGGACTTGTTCTGACTTATTTGAGTGTTGTGACTTGCTTGTAAATATACTATTTGTTCTCTTACAAAGTGTTTGATTTCATTTGACAGCAGGCCATACACTCACACCACGCAGGTTACAAATTATACTTCTGTGCTTGTAAAATATTTTAACTAAACATGATAACAGATCACATTTAAAAAGATTTGTTTTTATTTTTTTGTACAAAAAAAAACATCTGAAGTACATTTTGCAAAACACTTAGTTATCGACCAACACAGAAAATGAAATCTAATTTCAGTACAATTTACAGAATCAGTACGATGTCTTCACTCTTCATCCGACTCTTCGAGCAAAGCCTTCTGAGAGCTTGTTTTCAGGGATGTGTTTCGCATTCCAATCTCTACATCCCGTCTCCTTCCTGAGAATCTTGTCAGAGTCCTATTGGAACAAGACCAAAAAAATGTAGTTTTAAAAAAAATAAAAAAACTACATAAAGAGTACACAGCAAACCTGCTGCTCAGATCTTCTCACAATTACTGAATCCTGAATGCACATGCATGTATTGCACAAAAAATATCTTGAATATAGTCAAAATTAACAACTGGAGTCACAAGTTTTGATCAGAATTTGCACTGCAGAGATGTGCTACAGAAATATACCACCTGCAGAGGGTTGCAAAAAGTATTAATGTGGTAATAAAGTAGGAAGAAGCAAATTTGTGTTTTAAAATCCTATGCAAATATCCTTAAGCCTTGTAAACACTTTGGGCACTCATTCAAGATGGTCAGCATCTACAATGACTTCCCTTCACAAGTAGAGAGTGTGGTTTGGTGAGAAATGTTGAATGTAAACAAAACCATGTTTACTGTAAAAACCTAACCTTAAAGTAAAAGGAAGTTTTAAAGAGTGGAATGAAAGTGAAAAGGATTGGTGAAGGAAACGGTAATAAAACTTTTAGGTAGGTTAATCATTGTCTTACCTAAATATTTTCTCACGATTAATCATTTCTACTTACAAGAAAGATTTATGAAAGTACAGAATACACAGGCTGACATGTTCAGTGATTCTACATATAACTGAGACAGGCGATCTGAGTAAATACATCTCTTTATAAACACATGTCAGGTAGGTATTTTTGTAAGCAAAGAAACTGATTTCTTTAAAATTTATGTTTACTGCAAATCAATTATCCAACTGCTGATTTTAGTTTCAAACGTGCGTATAGGTAAAGGATGGGATACTTACAACCAAACCACAGAGGAGGTGAAAACAACTAGAAGCAGGGCGACGGCTAAATGCCAGCAGAAGCACATGGTGACAAACATGATGTTGTCGTGCAGCGTTAATTCCCACTGTGGTCCACTTAAGGGGTAAAGTACAAATCCAATCTGAAATGACAAATAGTTTGATAAAGGAGTGTGATAATCAAAGGTGTTCACATAAATACACATTGTATGAGACCCAAGCCCAACCCAAGGCAGAGCTGCTGAACTCAGACGTTGCTCAAGACGTCGAAGATTTTCCTGTTCTCCAGAGAACAGCGAAGGACGTCACAGCCTGCTGTGCCGATGGTGAGGCACGAAAAACACCAATGAGACAGACAATGGTTAAAAAATCTTGTCTCAAAAATAAACATGGGTTGACTACGCCAACCAAAGTAGTCCCCAAAGCCGCTGTGTCTCCCC